GGGGGGGGAGAGCGGGGGGCAGGGATGAGTGAGCTCAGCTGCCCACCAGGGTTAATCCACAACACTAAGGAAGAATTTGCAGGGTTATATTTAATCATAAGTCTAACCTGACTATTGCCAGTGCAAGTACAAGGAGAGTGTGAATTCTGCTAGTTGGAAGTTACTTATAGAGAAAATGCAATTGTTTTGGTGCCTACTGTGATGCCAGATAGCTGGCTTTTGAATCACCAGTACTGTACATGTCACTGGTAATACTTGGAGATCTGGTCTTTGTTCTCAGAGCTGCCTGATTATTTAAAATACTGAAGAGTTTTGGAAGCCAAGTCTTCTGCATCAGTGAAATAGGTTTTTTTTCTTTTTCATTAGAATAAGACCCTTGTGAAATCCTGTTTGTATTTTCTGTTTCTAGTCTTTGAAGAAATTAAACCATGCCAATGTAGTAAAGCTGAAAGAAGTTATCAGGGAAAATGATCATCTGTATTTTGTGTTTGAATACATGAAGGAAAATCTTTATCAGTTAATGAAAGAAAGGTATGTAACAGCATCACCCATTCCTGAGATAAAATAATTACTTGCGTAATGTGTTTTTAACACCCGTGTTACTTTTCAAAGAACTGTGGATCGTTTGTTTAGGCTTAGATCACTATGGCTTAAAGCTGTGTGCTGCAGTAGGAGCTGTGGTTGTCACCTTTGAGCATATCCCAGACAGTTTAGTGAGACTTTCCAGTGCCTCTTCCCAGATTAGCCTGGCAGATAAGTAGGGTACTATTTTGAGAGTTAGGAACTGTGGGCTTTTAACAGCCCTCACCCTGAAGAGGCATTGATTTCTAGGAAAGTACTCCTAGCAATGCTTTTTCTATTAGAAGGTGGTGTCACCACCTCTTCTGTTATGGCTTCCTCAAATAAACGATTAAATAAAAAGTGGTTGAAACGATAATCATGAGGGGTCAAATTCTGTATTGGTTCTAGGAATTTTTTTTCCTTGCAATTTGAACTCATGTGTCCAAAGACTGCTTATTTTATTTGTCAGCATTCTCAATAAAATCTAGCATTTTATATTTGCTGTAGCATTAATAAAGTCTTAATTTTAGCCTTTGGGCTATGATAGCATCCTCCAGAGGATAATTTGGGGCAAAATAGCTCCCTGCTTTGAATTGTTCTCTGAGGAGGCCATTTTCTCTCTATGGACCATAGAATCAGCTTGGGAGATGTCAGTAATTTTACTTGATTTAACAAAGTAAAGTTACTGTTATATCTCTGTGAATACTACATAAAATACCTTTTTAAGCATAAAAATACTTATTATGCATGCACAGGTATAGAACAGTAACTAAATTGGGCACATATATGTGGATGCTGATATTTAATTATATGGAGTGATAAACCTTGAGAAAATTGTTCAAGTACATAACATACACACCAATTATCTTTAGGAATTTCTTAGGAATGCTTGATATATTACACCTCCTTATGAAAACAAAAAGGGCAGATGTCTGTAAAAGTGTGCTCCACATCATGTTCTCTACGGTTTAGCCAGGCCTTGGATTGGTTAGACATTGTATAAATCGAACCTTTAAGGATGTGATTTATTTGCTTAAGTCTTGGTTAAAATTGCCAGTCTTGCTGGAAGGGACTGTAGAGGAAATATGATCCTCTTTCTGCTGTAATTAAAAAAATAAGCAAGCAAATATGTAAAGCTGACTCTAGTAGCTGAGCTCACTTCTGAAATATGTGATGGTCAGTTTTTTTGAGAGGAATCGAGCTCAGGAAATTGAGTAAGGCCCAGGCCATCTTCTTCATTCACTGTTAGACTTTTTCTGAATAAAATTGTCACTGATTGCCACCCCAGCCCATCTCTACTGTGGTTTGACATGTGCAGAGGCAGCTGGTACAGAGCTGTATGATCAGAATCCTCTCATGGTAAGAGGGGCTATCATTAAACCGGCTGCCATGGCTGATCTTCTTGCCTGAATATTATGAGAAAAGCCTCTTGTTTTCAGTGGTAGCAGATGAGACTGTTCTTTCAGATAACAGAAGAGAAAGAAGTAGCACATCAGCTGTTAGGTAATAACAAGGGAAAGTCAAAAGTATGGCTTTTTTATGCTTGGGGA